TATTGGGGGAAATCAGAACTAGTAATGAGTATGAAGATAAATGATAAAATTGGAATATTAAAATACAGAAAATGGGGGGATTGAAGAGATGGCTCATTGTTTAACTCATTGTTTAAGGACACTGGCTGCTCTTCCAGAGGTCCTTTTTTCCAGAGTTCAATTCTCAGCAACCATATGGTAGCTCACAATGTCTATAATAGGATCTGATGTTCTTTTCTGCTGTGTAGAGATACGTACAAAGTACTCATATGCACAAAATACATAAATGAACAGATCTTTAAAATACCAGAAAATCAGAATAAAAACACAAACAAAATTTGGATATAAAATATAAGTGTACTAGAGCTGGAGCTGGAGCAATGCCTCAGCAGTTAACAGCTGCTCTTCTGGAGGACCCAGTTCAAGTCTCACCATCCACATGGCAGCTTAAAACAGTCTGTAATTCCAGACCCAGGAGATCCAATGCCATCTTCTAGTCTCTGTAGCATCAGGCATGCACATGTGCACACACACACACAAGCAAAACACCCACACGCATGATATTAATTAGTTAGAAAAATAAGGTAAAGCTGGGTGTGTTGGTGCACATTTTCAATCCCAGCATTTGGGAGGCAGAGGCAAGTGGATCTCTGAGTTTGAGGCCAGCCTGGTCTACGGAGTGAGTCCAGAATAGCCAGGGCTACACAGAGAAACTCTGTCTCCAAAAACCAAGATAGATAGATAGATAGATAGATAGATAGATAGATAGACAGACAGACAGACAGACAGACAGACAAGGTGGTTAGTGATAGAGGAAGACGCTTGCTGTCCACTTACACAAACAGACCACAAACACACATACACACACACGTATACACATGTGCAGGCACACACATACACAAAGTACTAAGTGTAAGAAAATAAATAAATGTAACTGTATGTCAGATGAAAATATTCTAGTCTTAAAAAATTATACACGGAGGTATTTAGAGGCAAAAGCCACAATGTTATCTAATGTAAAGATGTTCAGAAAATATATATATACACATGTATGTACACATACGTATTATTGTATATACATGTAATATATTGTATTATTTTTTAGTTAATTTTCTAAGATTGAAATTAACTCCAAATCAAAATTTAATTAGAAATAAAAATCAGTCATTGTCACAACAGTACACTGTGAATTTTAAGTGTGAAGTTGCAAGGACATTGAAAACTGTTTCACGCTTCGTAAATTGTTGTGAATGACCAAAAAAAGCCATGTAACTAAATTCAAGGCATATGTGGAGTATTATATATTTTCTCAAATTAATAATAAAAAGTAAAACAATTATTTTATACAGATAAGATTAACTTTGAATGTTCTTTTACTTGAAGCAGGGAACTCTTGGCTCCTGAACATCAGAAAAAAAACAGTGGTGATATTTCCCAAAGCTGTCACAAAAATGTCAACAAGTCAAAATACTGAATATTCTAATAACAAAATGGGAAAAGAAATAAAGCCTTGAAATGTTCAAAAGTGGCAAAATGGACCCATTATATAATAAACGAATGTGATGTGTTTAGCTTTAAAAACAAAGAATGCTGCATTAGTATTAGTGAAATGGACTTAACAGCACACAGTTCAAATGGGTGGGGGTGGGAAGAGATTTTGGATGTTCAAAAGTATAATTCTTGCCAATAGTGGGATATGACTGCCAAAACCCAATGCAATATTAAGTAGCATTAATTAAGATATTATTTAGGGTGATAATAACCCAAATCCACACTAGTCAGCGAGCATATCAAGTAATACATTCAATTCTGGGTCTCAGGTTTCCTTCTGGCCCTAAGGGAATAGCTTGTATCAGACATCTTCCTGATAAAACATCTATGTTTGGTTCAAATACAGATAGCAATTGTTTAAATATGTTGAAGATCAACACTGACAATAGAATTTGAGGAGCCAAAATTCTGTAGAGGAGGGAAGCATGCAGATAGGGGTCCAACATACTCCTCCTCTTTCACCTGAGGTTTCTGCAATTTCTCCACAGGATAAAGACTAATCAGAAATTAAACTCTTAGCTAAAAACCTGCAGTCTGACCAGTTGAAGAAAATACACAGAAGATATGTAGCCGTCACACTAGCTGGAAGTGAGGAGAAAGTTCCAGAAAAGAGAGAACCATAGAGAACCATAGACTCTGCCATTCATGACGAGAGCTTACAGCAAATTAGAAACAGCAAAGAAGTTCCTTAGTTAAATGTCATATCAGAAAAATAAACAGGCACACCATAGATATGAAGAAAGTAAACAAAAAACTCACTACTAGAATATATTTTAAAACTTCCATAATTTAATAATAAAAAGCGATTCAATTAATAAAAACAAACAACTTCAATATACACTTCAAAATACCCAAGTGGCCAGTAATATAATAGTTGCCCCATAATCCTGAAGTCCCTCATAATGTCAAAGTAAGACTGAGCAACTAGGGCTGAAGGACTCATGAATCACTCATGTGATTCTAAACTAGTATCATTTACTAGAAAAAACATTAATGAAATAACAGGCAAAATCCAAATGAAATCTGACGACTCGATGGCATTACATGCCAATGCTACTGTTCTGATTTGCTCTGATTTGAAAGGCTACATTGTGGCTATAGAGGAAAATACATGTATTTGAAGCTGGCAACTTACACGTTCAAATGGTCACACACACAAGTTCTGTTCTAAACTTGCAAAGTGATTGTTTCCCAAAAAAGATTATAGAACCATGGTGTGTGTGTGTGTGTGTGTGTGTGTGTATAAACATAAAACGTACATATGAATATACATTTATGCCTGTAATGATCAATCTTCATTGTCAATTTAGAATCACCACTGAAACAAAACATGACTCTGTGAGTGCTTTTTCCAGAAAGGCTTAACAGGGCAGGGAAGGCCCACCCTGAGTGTGGGTGATACTATCCCACGGGCCAAGATCCCAGAGAGGATGAAAAGAAGAACTTGAGCTGAGCACCAGTGTTTATCTCTGTTTCTTGACTGGATTCAGTGTGACCTTACTAAGCTCTTTCATGATTTCCTCATTTTAATGGACTATACCCCTAAAACTGAACCAAAATATGTCCTTCCTTCCTTCAGTTGCTTGGTATTTTGTCATAGCAACAAGAAGAGGAACTAACACGATGCCTAACTAGAGAATTAATACATTAGGATCCTCTGAAGAGGTGTATGAGTTATGTTAAAGTTTTCAAAGCATTTAATGCTTAATCTCCTCATGAGCAAAATTCAATAGTTTTATAAGACTAATGTTGAATAAAGCTGATACAAGAAAAGATTCCACCAGCCACTCCCTGTACCCTGCTCCTGTTTAATCACTATGAATGCCCCCTTTCTGTCATAGTAAGTCTGCTTGTTACTTCAGGGTACACACTGAATTTCTTATAAAAGTAGTTTTGATTAGGAAGCTGTTGATCTTTTATGAATTCAAGCCTGAATGTGTCTACTCACATAAAACTGTACATGCAAGATTTCCACAAAAAATATATGTGTGCCACACCTAATTAAATGTCATGGACGGCTCCAGCTCATCTGCTCAATAAATCCACTTTCACAGGCAGACTAATGTGGTTTGACAAGCAAGTCAGTCACACAGCGTTTTGACTTAATTTATGAATAGTTTTAGTGCTTATATTCAGTACTGAGACCCACTCTGCTTCAAGTAAGCTAAGTAACACAAAATATATTAACCAAAGAAGAAAGATTGCTTCATTGAACTTTGTGAAAATGAAACATCTCTGCTTATCAAAAGAAAAAGAACAGGAAATCCTAGCATGAGAAAAAAATTCACAGTAAATATCTAAAAAATAATTTGTATGCAAACTATATAAAGAGGCTCTAGAAAGAGACAATAAAAGGATAAATGATTCAACTTTAGAATGACAAAATTGGTTATTTCAAAACAAGCTTCAAAGAGAAGGCTTAAAAGAGTTGGGAGAAATTGGGGGAGCAAAAAACATGATCAAAATGTTGTGTATAAAAAAGTCTTAAAAGCTGATTTTGAAGTCACCATCTAATAGACTAGGGCACTAGCAGACTTTAATGGACACGATATAGTATCTTGATTTGAAATAACAAAAAACATTTTATTATGAGTTACACAAAAATATTTTCCTCATGTAACATAAATATAAACTGGTTGAAAAATGACTCAACACATTGCTGAAGAAATATGAACAGTCAGGAAATGTTTTAGAAGACTCAACTTTCAATTCTGTTTTCCTTTAAGTTCTGCAAAGGTTTTTAGAATACTGTATCTGGCTAGGTGTAGTGCATAAGCTGGAAATCCTAGCACTTGGAAGCTAAAGAAAGATGACTGCTAAGCTTTTGCTCAGAGAGACTACAGACTGAGATTCTGTATCATCCTCTCAGCAAAAAGGAATATTCTAGTAGTACTTAGACATAAGTATCAAAATCTCCTGAAATCCACTGAATAGATAAAAATGTAGAACTAAACGAGGTGGTCAGGCACACACAAGACTAGAACTATCATTATATTCTAATGACAAAGCCTAAATAAAACAGGCTCAATTAAAATAGGCTAGTTGCCTTAACAGCTTTTATATCTAAAAGACTTTATGGACAATAAATCTCATCAGTGTAAGTTTATGCTATCAATAGTAAAATAAGTTCGGGATGTAGTTCAGTGGACTAGCACTTGCCACACGTAGAGTCCTAGGTTCTCTCTACCATACCATGCACACAAAATAACAATGGCAATGACAATAATAACACAGCATTTGACCTCATACTGCTTTAAATCTTTTTGCAAAGTAATTCCTAATTTAGAACTGCTAAGCATTTTATTAAAACCAAAAGCCTCCAGACCTTGTGAGGACACATTCACCATCATAATAGCTAGCTGTATAGGATCACTGAGTAAGATATAAATCACTGAAATTATTGCCCAACAAATATATACAGTGCTGATCCCCACAGAATTCTGCAGGGCATATTTTATTGCAATACTTACTGGCGCTACTATTTTTCCTGTCTGACCAACTTGCATGTCATTGGGAACAAAGCCAGCATCAACAGCAGCACGGGAAGCACCAACTGAAAGGGGAGGAAGTGTCATTATTTTCAAGATCTATTATTCATCTAGTGAGATATTTACCAAGTACTACAAAAGCATCCTAATATTGTACAGTCAAAAATTATTGTATAAAGGACTTAACTTTTGAAAAAAAAAAATCCTGATCAAGGATTTAAAACTGACCAAGGATTCTAAATACTAAGTAAACACACATTTTTTTTAAACAAAGTAATTTCCATTGTGTATTATACTCACTTTTTTTTTTTTTTTTTTTAGACAGCATCTCTATGTAGCCCTGGTTATCCTAAAGCTCACTGTGTAGATTACGCTGGCCTTGAACTCATAGAAATCCTGCTGTCTCTAATTCCTGGGTACTGTGTTTAAAGGCATGCACCACCACTCCAGGCACAAATTTCAATTTTTTAATTTGACTGGTTTCTGATGTTTTTTAAAATAAAAATAATAAAGTATCCATAAATCCACATTACAATCTACAATACCCTACAATGTTTCTGTATTAATATCATGATTTTTGGAGAAATGCTGTATAATAACATTACCTCTTATGAGCAGGTCACATTTAACACAAAACTGAGGTTTAATAAGTATCATATTAAATTAACAAATAAAAATGTAACTGGTTTCCTTTCCACAAGGAGATCTATTTTGGGGGAAAACCATTGCTTCTGGAAAGTGAAAGAAAGGGACTCAGGCATTTTTTTCTGTATACTGTTGTATTAATTTATTCTTTTTGTTCTAGTTTCTTAATAGAAGCTCAGATGACAAAATTTAGATCGCCTTTCTTTTCTAATACATATTTAGTACCATAAATTTCCCTATGAAAGCTCATCCTGATGGTACAGGCCTGGATTCCTAGCTACACGGGAGGCTGAGGCAAAGGATTACAAGGCCAGCAAGGTGATATGAGGGTGACTCTAGCTGAGACTCCTAATATCAGGGGTCATAGAGACTGAAGAGGCCACCTTCTAACTAGACAGAACTCTTAGTGGAGGGAGGGGAACACCAATCCACCCACAAAAACTTCTACCCAAATATACCCTGCTTACAAGATAGGCTGAGACAAAAACAAAGCAGAGATTAAGGGAATGCCCAACCAATGATTGGCCTAACCTGAGACTCACCAACGGGAGACAGCCAACCCTGACACAATTAACAATACTCTGCTATGCTTGCAGAGCAATGCCAAGCCTTTGAGTGGCCCCTCCTAGCACCTGATGGGAAGAGATGCAGAAACCCACAACCAAACATTGAGTGGAGCACAGGGAATCTTGTGGAAGAGTTGGGGAAAGGATAGAAGGTCCCAGAGAGGACAGGAATTCCAAAAGAAGATGAACAGAGCCAATAAGCCAGGGTCCAAGGGGACTTATGGAGACTGAAGCAGCAACCAAGGACTATACATGGACTGTACCTAGGCACCTACACAAATATGGCTGATGGGTAGCTCGTTCCTCATCCTCATATGGATCCCTCCAGTAAGGGAAACAGGGGCTGACTATGACATGGGCTCTGTTGCCTGCTTTTCCATCACCTTGCCCTGGTGTGGCTACCTTGCCAAGCCACAGGAGAAAAGGATTTGCTCAGCCCTGATGCAACTTGACATGCTGGGGTTGGGGTGGGGGTCTCTCTTTCTCTGAGGAGTAGGGGAGGAAGGATAGGGAAAACAGGGAGGAAGGGTGGGACCTGGAGGAGTGGAGGAGGGGGCTACAATTGGGATGTAAAATGAGTAAGAATTTTTAAAAAAATTAAAAAGAGACTGTCTCAAAGATTTGAAATTTAAAAACACACAAAGTTGGGGGAGAGACCAGATAGGTATAGCTCACCTGCCATACAGGTATAGAGCATCTGCCTAACATGTCAGCTCAATTCTCAATACTTCGAAATAAATTCCTCCCACCCCACACCACTGCTGTTACTGTACCCCACACTTTTTTTCCATTCAGCTCAAAATATTTCTTTTGATATATTTTCTTTTACTCATATATTACATAGAAATGTGCTGTTTAAAATCTCCATGTATCCTGGATTTTTCAGTTATGTTTCAGTTATTGACACCTAGCTCAAGCTAAGAACAGACATCATACATTCCCTACTACTTTAAATTTATGAAAGTGTTTTATGGTCCCAAATATGGTCTTCCTTGGTGAATGCTCCTGTCAGCTTGAGAATTCACTGTTGAGTAACATGATGACATCAACAGATGTTAATTCAATCCAGTTAACTGTTGAGTTGAACTGAGATTCCCTGTTTGTTCTATATACATATATTTTTTTTGTTCTATATATTTCTAATAGAATCACTGAACTTACAAGGTAAATCAGTAACAGAATCCCTTTTACTTCTAAAGGATTACTCCACGAGTGCAGAATTCTAAGTTGCTGGAAATTGTTCTCGCAATATTTGAAGACTTTTATCCTATTTTTATTTTATTCACATGATTTCTGAAGAAAAGTCAAATGTACTTATCTTTGCTATTTTTATAGGGTAAGTCTTTTTTTTTGTTTTCTCCACTTTGGTTTCTTTCAGGATTTTTATCTTCATCCTTGACTTGTTATAGCTTGCAATTTAGACACACATTTGGTATTTTCTGAGCTTCCTGGATCTTTCCGTGGGTATGATGTGAACTGGAGCACTTCTCAGGCTTCACTGTATCAACCACTCCTGTTCTTTCCTTCCACCTTCCCATCACACCCATTTCTCTTCAGTTGTAGTTATCTTTCTCCCTCTTTCTCTCCGTCTTTTAGGATTTTTGAGACCATGTTTCCCTGTGCAGCCCTGGCTGTACTGGAACTCGCTCTGGCCAAACCAAGTTGGCCTCGAACTCACAGAGATCCACCTGCCTCCCAAGTGCTGGGATTAAAGGCATGATTGTAGTTATTTTTTACTTTGCTTTTTATTGGGTTACTTGTATTTTTTGGGTGTCCCCTAGTTCCTGGGTATTTTTAATGCTGTGCTCTTTTTTTTTTTTTTTTTTTTTGCTTTGCTTTTTAGCTTTAAGCATGTCTGTGGCATATCCTCAGGCTCAGAGATTCTTTCCTGGTCCTTCAAATTTACTCTGTTCATAATATATAGTCATTTCTGTTTCTGTGAGTGTGTGTGTGTGTGTGTGTGTGTGTGTGTGTGTGTTTAAATCTTTATCATTTTTTTTCCAGTTCTTTCTCAAAATTAAAAAAAGGGATATTTATTTAGTAATGTGTATCAGAGCATGTGTGGGGTTGAAGAACAGGTAGCAGGAGTCTGCAGTAGGCTCTGAAGTTGGCAATTCATTACTTTTTGAATAGAAATCAAAACTAGATAGATTCCTAAGATTTAGCAAATGTAAAAACTGCCACATACATACTTTGAAAATTACTAGGATGCCCGCTCCCCCCTTTCTGAAAAGTTTCAGCATTTATTGGTGGCTTAAAAAAAAATGCAGAAAGAATGAAATATTGGTCAAAACTGGAAATAAAGATAAACAAAATAAGTCAGAGGCAGAAAAGTAAATATCTTATGGTTTTTTTCTCATATGGAATCTAGATTAAAAAAAAATAAGGGCAAGGAAATAGAAAGGAAATGATATGGGAAGAGAAAGAAGAAAAAGAGGAAGGCAGAAGAGAAATAAGTAATCAAGGAAATATGATCAAAGTATGTTATGTACACGAATTGAAATGTCACAACCAAATGTTGCTTTGTATAGATGATAATATGGTTAAACAATAAAGCTAAGTCAATGAAGGAAAAACTAGAAAGCAAAATTACCTAAAGCTTTGGAGGACTTATATATAAACATAATGACAAATATTTCCAACAAAAAGAAGACATCATGTGACAAAGAAAGAGGACATTTACCTGCAGCATGCAGTTGGTCTGCCAGGTCGTACAGCAGCTTAAAGTTTTCTCCACTCTTCAAGCCCCGACCTCATTAAACAATAAAATAAAATCAGGTATACAGAAGTTGCATGCTGTAAAATGTTTGCCATTTTATATGCCCAGCCTAATGTCCGTATTACCAACTGCCACATTAAACACACCACCTCCTCTACAAAATCTTTCCTTGCTTTTATGAAGCATTCAGCACTGTACTTAATTAACTACAGAAAGGACACTGCGATGTTTATAGTTTCTCCACTATAATGAAAACACCTCACAATGCAAGATCCACAGCTCTCTAGGTCACTGATGTATCTGTAGTATTAGCAAACTCCTACTGGCATTTGGTAAATATTCCCAAAATGAAAGTTCCTGCTAGATTTCAAACTCCTTGACAGCAAACACACTCTTTTGTTTTCATCTCTCCAGGAAATAAAAATGCAACAGGCCCATCATAGAACAGATATAGGCTAATATTTCCTAAATATACAAGCCAATAAACAAGACAAACATCTTTGCAAAATATTAAATCATTTCCTCTTAATACCACTTGAGCAATAGATGCCTGTTGGTAGCAGAAATTATTTTTTTAAATATTTAATTTGGAAATATTTTAAAATCACATCAATCATCTTCTCAAAAAGTCAGTCAACAAACGACAAAGTAGCATAGTACACAAAAAGAGGTTAGCTGATGACACACTCAGCCTCTGACATTAATTGTGAAGGGCTTTCCAAGTGTTATCCACACAGACCGGAATAACACTGAAAGCCACTGAAAGTAGAATGGAACAGGGCATTTATATATGACTTTGAGATTCCAACTGCTGTGTTCATAATTCAGAAGCAACTCAAAGGCCACAGAAAAACATAGAAGTCTATAAACAAAGACACCATGTGGCAGAGATGTGGGGATGAGACTTTGAGATTTCAACTGCTGTGTTCACAATTCAGAAGCAACTCAAAGGCTACAGAAAAACATGGAAGTTTATAAACAAAGACACCATGTGGCAGAGATGTGGGGATGAGACTTGTACCCTGCTCCCCAGTGCCAGTGACAGATGTGTGACACTTAGCCCAAATTCTATTTAGGGTCTAATTTCATACTCCTGGCAAAATATTACTAATACTTACAATTTACCAACTTCTAACATTTTGTAAAGAAAAATTAAAACAAAAACTCTATGCTCCAGTCTATAGATTCAGCTCAGAAGTTGAGAGTTTCCCTACCATGTACAAGGCCCTGGGTTCCAGCCAGGCATGGTGGCACATGCTTGTAACCCAGCACTTCGAGAGGCAGAGGTACGCAGATCTCTGTGAGTTTGAGGCCAGCCTGGTCTACAAAGTGAGTCCAGGACAGCCAAGGCTACATAGAAAACCCTGTCTCGAAAAACCAAAACCAAACAAAAGACCCTGGGTTCCATCCCCAGCACCACCAAAAACTAGACAAAAAACTAGATAGAAGTCCTTCCTTTAATGAGATGAGTGAGCTACGTAGCTCTGCCATCTTTGAAATTACCAGTGCACTTACCACCAGATACCACCACTTTGGCACCAGTCAGTTCTGGACGATCACTTTTTGTCAATTTCTGGTCAAGCCACTCTGATAGTCCCACTGGTGAAGAACTCGGTGCTGCATATATCGATAAATAAATTAAAAATGAGGATGACTTGAAGTTATATAGTAATAATTATTTTTAAGACCAACACACAAACACAAGTTCATGCACTTTCATGTTCCCAATTTCATTTTCTTTAATTATGAAGGCTTAAGAGGGCTTTGGGGAAGTCAAACACTACCCATAAGTCCATCTGTAAAAACCAGAATAGCCCATTCTTTCCAGTGTTCAATAAGATGCCACATGTTAAGATGTTTACTATTATTACATTCTTCTATTATGTTGAGTCACTCAAATATCACAATAGGAAACAGTAATGAGATTAAAAAGGTCCCAACAGGGGGCTGGAGAGATGGCTCAGAGGTTAAGAGCACTTGCTGTTCTTCCAAAGGTCCTGAGTTCAATTCCCAGCAACCACATGGTGGCTCACAACCATCTATACTGTAATCTGGTGCCTTCTTTCTGGCTTACAGGCACATATGCTTGCAGAATACTATATACTGTATAAATAATAAATAAATCTTTAAAAAAAAAAAGTCCTAACATAAACATAAAGATTAATCATAATTGATCCTCTCTCCTGCTCTTTAATCTACCAAAGTCATTATATTTATACCAAGATGATGTGAAACAGACATAAATTATAATTATTTATATAACCTTGGAATGAGTCACTTGAATTTTGTTTTTTTCCCTCTCTTTTTATTTTATGATTTTATTCACTTTATATCCCGATGTAGCCCCGAGTCAGTTGAATTTTTACTTTGCACTAGACATTAAACCAGAGGTCATCTCTTAGTCTAAGATAATCTATAAAGCAAAGAAACAAGAAATGCCCACCTATCAAAAAAAGCGCGTATGAACACTCACCCTTTTCTGAACTGGCACTACCACCACTCGTTGCTGCAGCCTCAAAAGATGTTCCCCGAACAGAAAACACCTTCACTTTCTCATCACACTTCACTGTACATAATGCATTTCCTGAAACACATTTTATTATGAGGAATGAATTTTTATTGTAAGGAAGTATACCTCTCAGGCTCAGAATTTATTTTATGAAGACGAGGTAAAACTAAGCATGGACAACTGTTTCCTACATCTGCTAAGTATAGGAAAAGAGGAGCACAACAGTGAAAACCTTTCCCAGGGACTATGCATACACCTCTGGGTGTCTTTTCAAGCAAGAGAGTTAAGTTACTGTCTAGATTCAATAAGCTGAACAGGTGGCCACAGTAAGAAGGCACACCTCCTCTATAGGCAGAAGGAATGAAGCTTTTTTTTTAGGTTAGTCAGTAACCTAAAAATAGAAGCTGCTATACGTTAATACAAACACAACTGCTATACATGCCCAAGAAGGATAACATGAAAGCACAATAGAGCATAAAAACAAGTTCAGAGGGTTTAAAGGACTAGAGACACTTCATATTAGGAGTGATGTCACTATGACCAAATACTTGAATGTTACTAAAGATTTCAGGTCTGATTTAAGAATCAACCCGTTTACTGAAACTTTAACCAGAACAAAGGCAGTAACAGAAATTATTTCTTTCTCCAGCCCCACTAGAGATCAATGTGCTTAGAGATGATCAATCAACTAAAGAGACACTGAAATGATAATGCAGATGGACCTGGAAAGAAAAGGCTGAGAATACTATTTTTAAAAAGATTTTGCCTTTCAAGGTACTACTTACAAAATATAGCTATTTAAACAAGACCTCAACAATGACAACAGCAATAGACATGCTAATGTGGAAGGAGAAATCTCATGGGTCCCACTCCTAGACAACGAACAAACTTCTGAGGGAGAATTTTCTTGGTTATCCAATACAACTGGCTACCCAATACAAAAGTAGCCAGCTCTGAAATCATATACACAACAAGCAAACTAAACAGAACCAGGGGGTTGTACTTAGACATCTGTGTGTGTGTGTGTGTGTGTGTGTGTGTGTGTGTGTGTGTGCGCGCGCGCGCACATTGTGAAGCAAAAACAAAACAGGCCATCAACTTGACATAAAGGGGAATGACACAGGAGGGAGTAGAGGGGAAAAGTGATATAATTACATCTCAATTAAAATTTAAAAATACACACACACACACACACACACACACACATATATATATATATACTGGATGGCAAACTTGATTTTTATTAACCACTGGGGGAGAAAATCTTACTCCATAAACTGAGGCCTGTATAAAAGCACTGTGTACATGATAAATCTGATAGAATGCCATGTCAGGGTCTAGTAGTAATTCTCAACTAAAGCATTTCTCAGAAAACCTTATGATGATCCATTTAATCATAGGTTGTTTCCAAATCCTATTTCTAAGATTTATGTATACTCTGAAAATTAACATGCTGATTAATTATCTTCCTTGGAACTTACCTGCGTAGATAGTTCTCACAAATGTGTCAGGTGACTTGATCTCAATGATGTCAGAAACTGGGGCAACATCAAGTTTGGCTGCTACTCTGGGCAGAAGGTTCTAAAAGAAAAAGAAGCAGTAAGCTACACAAATGCAAGCTGACCAACATAACAATCAACAATGGTAGTTTCTAAACCCCTGTAAAGAGGGGGTGTATCTTCCACATAAATTTTAACTGAAATTCAAATATTTTATACTTCACATGTATCTTTGAACAAGGGACATCAAGCTCAGCTTTTGAGGTAGTCTTTGAAATTAAGTGCCTACCATTACTCTATATTAAGTTAGAGAAGATTTATAGTAATAAGCTGATTAAAGCTGATAAATTATGGGATCTACCACCCTAATAAATATCAAGTACAAAGTGTGACAGTTATGGATCCCTGAATTTAAACAAGAGAAAGAGAAAAAATTAGAAGAGTAAAATACTAGAAAAGGTTTTATTATATACCTTTACTAGAAGATATGAAAGAAACAGTTTTTACAGATGTCACCTTTGTCAAGTTTATGTTGCATAAACAGAGGAAGCACACAGAAACAAGCATGTGTGCTCTTGCTGATACAAGCACATAACATTTTAAAGTAAACACTTGTAACTTTATGCTTAGTAGCCCGCAACTTTAAGCAAGTCAAAATCTTCTAGAGTCTTAGTTAGCACTTCTCATAGAGGGGGGAGAGAATCTCCACATGGCTAGTTAAAATTCTATGACCCAGCCGGGCATGGTGGTGCACGCCTTTGATCCCAGCACTTGGGAGGCAGAGGCAGGAGTATCTCTGTGATTTCGAGGCCAGCCTGGTCTAGAAAGCGAGTTCCAGGACAGCCAGGAATACAGAGAAACATGGTCTCAAAAAACAAAAATAACAGCAACAAAAACTCTATGACCCTAGGACTCTAAAGCAGAAGAGAGTCACTTAGTGAAGACTGAACTTCCATGTTCTAGACTGAGGTTCTTTTAGATAACATAAGTAATTTTAAAAGTAAAGCACTGCTTTTTATCCCGTGCTAACTTCTACATAGCTCATTCCATGGCACCTCCCTGATTTCATGCACTGTTTCTGACAGCTATGCTTTCAAGATAATACAACAAACTAATTACAATATATTAGCTGTGACTGGCATGAATTTTTGTGGTAAAATAATTTTTAATATACATGCTGTATGACTCCTAACTAGGATTCTAAGCACCCTGAAGGTAGCAGGTTGTCTTCTAGTTCTCTTCTGTTCCTGTACTGTTTTTACTCACTGACCTCATATAAAGTGATGCTGTAAGTACTGACAGAATCAGCTTCCTTATATCTGCATCAGACAATAATCCTCTCCATGAACAGAGAACTCGGGCCTTGATTACTAAAAAGTACCACTGTTCATTTTCTTGCTTCTGTGGATCTTCCTTTCCATCCCCATTTCTACTACCCTTCTACCCCCAGGGTTTCCTTTCCACTTTCTCCTTACTTGTGTTCTATCACCTTGGCCAACTTCCTAAACACTCCCTCTTTTCCTCTGTCATCCACTTTCATGGCCTATAACCGTGTGCGTGCGTGCGTGCGTGCGTGCGTGCGTGCGTATTTAGAAACTGCCTGCCAGAGAAAGAGTATGCTGTATCTGTCTTTCTGAGTCTGGGTCATCTCAATGTAAGAACTCCCAAATCCATCTGTTTTCCTGAAATTTTCATTATTTTTATTTTGTACGGCCATGTATGTACCAGATTTTCTGTATCTATTTATCTGTTGACATCCAGGTTGGTTCTATTTCCTTGCTATTATGAATAATACAGCAGTAAGATGTACACATACCTCTGTGGTAGGGTATAAGCCTAGGAGTAGTACAGCTGGGTCATAAGGTAGTTCCACTTTTAATTCTTTGAGAAACCTGGTTTGTATATGGCTGTACTAATTTATACTTCCACTGGCAGTAAATATAGGCACTTCCTCTATATCCTCACACAATTCTCTGTCCTTTGTTGTTGTTGTTTTTTGTTTTGTTTTTTTTTTGTTTGTTTGTTTGTTTTTTTTTGATAATGGCTACCTTGATGAGGGTTAAGTGGAATCCCAAGTTTTAATATGCATTTTCCTTATGGTGGAAGAGATTGAATATTTTGACGAGTACTTGAATACCCCCTCAAAGCCATGTGTTGAAGGCTTGTTACCAGCCTTTCCTGCTGCTAGAAGATGACAGAACTTTTAGGAGGTAGGACCTATGGCAAGACAGTTGGGAGTGTACCTCAAAGGAGATATGGAAATGCTCACTCCTTTCTTCCCCCTTCCCTTCCCTTCTAATTCCTGGCTACTATGATGTTAGTAATTATGTCATGTACTTCCATCATGAGCCATGACCTCCTAATTCACCACAGGGCCAAAGTGTCAGGATGACATGATTGGTACCTCTAAAACCATCAGCCAAGATACACTCTTCCTTCTTTTGTTTTTTTTTTACTGACAAAAAAACAATAAACACAATTCACAGGTTTATCACAGACCTACTATAGTCTCCCTATGGAATTCCTCCTATGGACTTTTCTTCATCTCAAATACATTTGTAGGTTACAGCAGCAGCATCTATTCCAGGTTCAATTCCTAGCATCCACATGGTAGTTTACAATTGTCTCAGTTACTTTTCTATTGTGGTGACAAAAACGGAAGGAAGGAAGGAAGGAAGGAAGGAAGGAAGGAAGGAAGGAAGGAAGGAA